GAGGGAGAGAGGGAGGGAGAGAGGTAGACCAAAACAAAATCTCCATTGGCATGGAGGTAAAAGTGATAACATGATTATGTCGGGGAGATGTGCCTACCTGAGAAGATCTGGACTTCACACAGGCTCAGTATTCGTTGGAGCCGGGAAGACGAACGCCCACGTACTGTCCCCGCATCCCTTGACACGGGATGGAAACGGACGGCTTGTTCACCTCGATCCAATGATCCCCACCACACTTAGGGTTCCTGGTGACTTGCTTAGAATCTCCAATGTGGATGTTGAAGGCGTTGATACGTTCCACACAAACAGTCCCGGCGGTTGAAGATGACTACTCTGTATATTTGAACGGAAATGACGATGGCGTTTAAAACAAGTGCTTTTACAAAAGCTGACGTTTGCCGCCATTGTACTTTTGCACAAGAAAATCACATGCCACCTCTGCTAGTTTCACTGAAAATGTTGTTACCTTTTTTTTTCCTGATAGTATAGCTTCACACATTGTGGGCAAAGGCAATTAATGGCTTATATGTAAGAAATGTGACACAAGTATACACAGATTCTAAATGTATGTGTTCAGATTGTTTATTGAATATTTGGTTTCAGGGCAAGATACAGTTTCTGGTTTTAATAATTCACTCGTGAGACATGGACTCATCCAGTATACAATCTGCAAGTTCTGCACAATGGCACATTAGTATTGAGTGCACGGTGGCACAGGCTGGTATTGAGTGCACGGTGGCACAGGCTGGTATTGAGTGAATGGTGGCATAGGTTGATTGCTTTGTGGTATCCAAATGCCAAAGACACATCTGGAAGAGATGACAAATAATTTGTTTCAACATCAAATCTGCAACTGTGCACATAAATATTGAGTTCTCGTTGCTAAAAGAACACATCAAAGTCTTCAAAATTACCCATATACTACTGAGAGAGCTTCTATATGTTGCCATATTGATGAACGATTCTTAGGTTTCTGAGTACACTCAAATTTCTTGATGAAATTGAGATATGTTTGATACCAGGAAAGATTTACGTGTGAACCGAATAGCTTGAAAGTTCAAAGTTTTTTCAACAAAATACTGGCGACGAATGAAAAAGCCTGAACCGCCCCCCCCCACTGACAGCGAAAATTTGTAAGAAAGAAAATAATAATTTATGCAACAGTACAAAAAATTAAGGCGATACGGTAGAAACACTCCAGAGAACAAACTTTAAGATTGGCAAGCATCTGCCGGTAATTAATTTTAATATTAAAGCAAGAAACTTAGCCTTGCATAATTTGATCATACCGAAAAGAGATTGTTAGACGCATTTGTAAATCCAAAGAGGAGGGGGGGCAGTCAGTTTGACTACTAAATATTGTTAAACAGCGCGTCAAAGCACAATAAGATTGATCACCCTTGCCCATGGTACTTTTAGCTATACTATTTTCCTGTAACTCTATGCCTAATACTCATAACATTGCTGATATTTTTACATTTATATGGCGTAAATACTGAGGTACGGTACGTACCTGAGAGCTGGAATGCTCGTTGTAGAAGCCTGCATACCCTTTTTCCTGAGGCGTAATCGGACCATTTAAGTCTTCGTAATCCGTTGGCAGTCGCCCTCCAAATCAATGAAATTCGTAATATTATATTAGCCTTAATGCATAAAGTTTTAATAGCTCTGAGAATTTTACTTAATTCGTAATCGGTGGCGAAAATTTTTGCGTAATCCGTAATCACTATCACCCCCATACATGCCCTCTAGTACATCCGGGGGCTTCCAAGAGCAACATGAACAGCGACATCTAGCGATGTAGTGAAATAGTACATCTTCCGGTTAGTAAATATGGCGGTGGGCCGGATACTCTCTCTCTTCACAGCCAAGGGCGTATATTTCGGCAAAAGGGTACTTTAAAAGTTTCTTTAGTGTGGAAACTTAGCAACAATGTAGTGGACCACAATTAAAACATCGTTGTTGGAATATTTGTCCACTAATTACAGACGTTGCGCGAGCGCAAATGTTTTACTTGTCATCTACATTAACATAATTTATGCGATTCATTCATCAAGGCCATTATGTCAATTTTTATAATCTTCTGAGAATCACTTTGGGCATACAGTAGTACAGATTAATTATTTTTTAGACAATTCAAGTCTAATTTTTGATAACTTTGTCATATAAGAATTGCGTTTATGTGATCTGGTAGGTCCATCCCACAATAAAAAATGCAAACATAATAGATAAACATTGAATGCAACACCCAATGTTTTACTTGTCATCTACATTAACATAATTTATGCGATTCATTCATCAAGGCCATTATGTCAATTTTTATAATCTTCTGAGAATCGCTTTGGGCATACAGTAGTACAGATTAATTATTTTTTAGACAATTCAAGTCTAATTTTTGATAACTTTGTCATATAAGAATTGCGTTTATGTGATCTGGTAGGACCATCCCACAATAAAAAGTGCAAACATAATAGATAAACATTGAATGCAACACCCAAACGAAAATGTTCACCCAACGAAGGGTTGATGGAAGCATTGTTTTCGTATGTTTACGTTTGCCGCCGCATGGCGGCAAACGTAAAAAAGTTTGGATAAATGTTATCAAACAGGTCAGAGGTGTCTCAACACATTCACATAGAGTCACCCGGACACTTTGTTTCACTTGATACTGTAAGGATTTTAGACACTGAACAATACTATTTTTTGAGAGGGGTGAAGGCAGCCATTTACATCAGGGCCCATCACCCTACATTGAACTGCGACGGGGGCCGACATCGTCTACAAGATACCTTTAACCCAGTGTTTACGTCACACTTCAAAGAAGCCCCGTGACAAGCTTCACTGGGTCAGTCTACTGAGGAAGACCAGAGTGACTGGTCGAAAGCTCTAGGTGAGAGAATTTCTTGTGTTAGACCAAAAGTCTTAACTTTAAACAAGTCATGACATTGTTAACTTGTATAGTGCTGAAAGCCCATCATACAAACTGTTGAAAAACAGCAGGTGATTTTTTTGCAATTATTGTGTGTAAAGTTGCTGTAGAAATCACGAAAATCGCTGTTCTTTTGTTTTTTTCAATAAAGATTGTTGTGAAATGTTGCTAGTTACGAGACGGTTATATTTCCTTACACAATCAAACACTTACCTGTCAATCATGTACGGTTGGCCCAGATTGACCCACCAGGCAGGGTTATCTTCCTCCTCGGTGTGTGTGCAGGAACCAGTCCGCATGTGGGTACTGGTGATGCCGTCTACTGCACGGCTGGGTACGGCCGCATAGGTCATGTAGGTGCTTGTTTGGTACGTCATCTTGCCAAGAGCAACATTGGCACCTGTAACAGGCGGGAGCCATTTCATTAACATCTTTTATTTAATCAATTATGAATCATGTTACTTCAATGGATAATGCTTACTTCATGCTTCTTAAATGAAACCCCTCTTTCCTAAATGATGTTCTTTTTAAGCCTTCCAAAAGGTCGAGGGAGCTTTGACGCGTTTTCCATCCCCAGAATGCTTTGCGAAAACAGGGGTTTGAACCTCATTTGCATAGAGCAGGAAGGCATCGGAATGATCCTGTTGATGTTAAACAGCTTGTTTTTTATTGTGTTTTGAGGTGTTTTATGAGGTCATTTTATGCTCAACGTTAACTAAATTACTATGGGTTGAATCTGACAATAAATAGAGAATTAATTTTTTTTTAATATGTGGTTTGTAACGTTACAGTGGTAACGCTATACTGATGCTGTAACGTTACAAACCGCATGTTCCATGTTGAAAAGAACACAAAAACTTCATTCTCTATTTGTTGTCAGATTCGACCCATGGTAATTTAATTAATATTAAGCATAAAATGCTCCAACACCTCAAAGCACACTCAAAAACAAGCTGTTTAACGTCAACAGTATCGTTCCGATTCCTTCCAAGGCAAATGAGGTTTAGATCCCTGTTTTTGTAATGCATTCTCGGGATGGGAAACTCTTGAATATAAATCGATGCTTATGGTAAGCTCTTTTTTGGCTTTTGAGGGTAGCTATATATAGCATTATTGCTAGATAAAAAAACATTTTCAAGATACATTTGTCTTTGACATATAATTTGTTCTTATCTTAATCAGGTCATAGACCCCTGACTTTCAGGTCATAGACCCATGACATGGTAATTGAAAAAAATATTTGAGGTACGCTAAAGTATCCAAATTAAAAAAAAAACACACACTTTAAGATATCACATAAGATAACATCTCGGGGTGCGGTTTGGCTATGAATAACAACCCTGCGGGACCCATATAGATATCTCTCTCTATATATATATATCGATTGCACATACAGTACTATCTATATAGCGCCCTGTATATGTACAATATTGGGGTATATTTCGTGCAACGCATCACACCGCAGCAAAACGCAACGAATAAGGAAAAACTACTTATTACAGGTCAAAACGTCATGGATCTACAACCTGATTAAAATAAAATTATTTTGAAATAAGATATTGTGTGAAAATGACAGCAGGACAAGGGAAAATCGAAAAATCACAAGGTAACGTGAATTGCTATCAAACCGTTCAATATCATATCATAAATATTACAGAGAGAATCTTAAAGCAGAGGAAAACAACTTATAATGTACAGTTATACATTATATAGATGTGTAATGGGAACATAAATATATGTTGAATAGCATCCATGGAAGAAAAATGTAAAAATGGTAATAAAACTGAACTTGAAATTACATCACAAAGAAAGCGAGGTTTTTCTTTGTGCCTCACCTTTCATGGTCGTTGACTTGTCTTGTCTGGTAACTTCCACATGCTTCATAGGTAGCATCACAATGGTCGTAGGTGACACAGACTGAGACAATAAGGATAACCAATAAATTTTCATGATAAAAATCACTACCTCATCTTCATCTTAATACATCACTTTAACAGGATCTAAAATAAAAACAATTGAACCCATATTTGCAATGGACTGTCTGACAAACATTTTAAATGTTACTAAAGTGTTGGACCACATATACATTAAAATAAGTTATTATCTGTTCCAAAAGAGTGGGTAGCTTAATAACTCAAAGTGAGCAATTGTCCAATCTTTACCTGTTTGCCTAATATCTAAGAAAACAGGTAAAGACGCGTTTCTTACCTCAGAGATTGTTATCCTTTCTTGCAGTGGAGTTGTCACATTGGGAAGTGCAGTTGTCATGACGAGCGATGCAGTTGACATATTTGCTGGGTAAGATGTTATCGTCAGATCATCACGGGTGATCCCCACAGGTGAATCCGTTATCAAGAGCGTGTTGGCCAATGGCTGAAAAAATAATAACATTAAATTTGCCAGCAGATGCATTACCCTCCGTTAAATAACATACGAGTAATGCTGGGGTGACATTTCCAAAACGGGTCCCGGCCGGGCAATCTTATGGAACAAAAAGTATGATATAAAAGACAACAAATATGGTGACAAAATTAATAATGGGAACTATATACATATATTACTGATAGAAATTAATGATTTTTCGTTAATAGAAACAGCCCGGCCGGGCCCCGGTTTGTAAATGTGACCTCAGCATTACCAACAGATGTCTGTAATAAACACAGAAATGTCCAGGCTTGTTTCATTCGTGTTATTCGTGTTACTCGGAGAAGAGGGTTGACACGTAAGGAGCATTCTGCATTCTGCAAGCATTGTTCATGTCATTTAGGACTCTAATAAGAACTTCAATCTGGTAGAATCGGCAATAAAAATATTTATTCATATTGTCAACAAGTGGGTTGTCCCATCAGTCTTTAGACTGGTTGTCCATGGGAGACAAAGATCCAAACAATAACCAATATTTACATGAGACAAAGTAAATGCAGGTAAATCATAAATATGTCATAAATTAACATCCATATGATAATTGGGATCATGAAAAAGAAATATACAGAACTCATAGCAAAATTAGCAGAACCCATAACAAAAAGATAGTAATTAATATAAGTAAGAACAGTAAGAACATAACATTAAGAACAAATAAGAGACAACGCAAACAAGCACAGATTATTGTCCAAAATCAGGGTTCATTTCTGTTCAGGTAAAAGGAATTTGGTCAGAGGAAGGCGTCTTTTTTTATCCTACAATGAAAGATACCCATCGGAATCTTTGGGAAAAAAAAAAGAAAAACAACGTTGATTAAAGTTCCGGCCGAAATACTCTCAGATTGTTAAGTGAACATCGAATGCATCAAGACACTGTGCGATGTTATCAGTTTTAAGAAAGCCGTTTCAAACAGTAGTAGTGTCACCTGATCCTTGACCCTTCCTCGCTACTTTTAAATTGTTAATATCTATGTGTATTTATTGTTGATGTGGTGTACATGTATGTATGTATGTATTTTTAAATGTTTCTACTATGTTGTAATTATGTAAATTTAATTGTTTGAGCCTTGGAAGATTAGCCCTTCGGGGCTAAAAGGTTTCGAAATAAATGAAATAAATGAATGCACTAGATATTTAATATAGAACATTAGATGGTGACTAACCTGATGAATATCCCCATTTTTGAACGATGGTGCAGTGAGATAAGTGCTGATAACACCTCCTGTAATACCCAGGACTCCCAGTGCAACAGTGATGATGATGCCACGAAGTAGATTGGAACGCAGAAATGTCAAACATGTCGAATCTATTGAAAGTTAATAGTTAACACTTGTTAAAGTAAAGATTTTATGACAACTACAATGCATTTCTTCGTGAAATTAGATTTTGCCATATTAGCCTTCGCCCTAAAAATCATACCGAAAAATTAAAACAATCCATAACTACAGTTCTACCATCTCATACCTTCGACAATCAATGATAGCTTTCTAATATAGTATCCAACTAAGACCCTGATGTCACAAGTGTAGAATCCCTGCCATATTGATAATACTAAGGTATTATGACATTTCACGCTGAACAAAATTCGGCCCAAATGTCCCAGTTTCTCCTGAACGTTCGTTCGATTCAGGGTCACCCACGGCCATTTACCATAAACCCTCGACTTCAAACCTTTTTTTTTTGCATGAATATCATCTAACAGAAAAAGAAAAAAAATTCACAACTTTCTGGACAGTACATCTCTACCGTCTTTATGTAGTGCATATGTTAAAAAACTACTGCCGTCATCGTGAGTGACCTTAAAGATCGTAACTCTAGTTTACACAGATATCAATTACCCCCCTCCCCACGCGGCATGAAAAGCGTACAAACATGGTATTGGCATCTTAAAAACAAATATGACACTTAAACTTTTTTAATTTTGTTACAAAATGCAAAAATTGAGGATCTTTTGCTAAATTTGCGACCTGTTTGAAACAGTTGTTTGGTTAAAATAGATTGTTCTAGAATAAGCACTAGACGCGCTTAAGAGTAACAGTTTAGCGCTGTAAGTGGAATACGGCTGATGTATAATTTGTTTGCAATGATTATGCAAATAACACTTGCATTATTAAATCTAACTATACAATTCTCCACGTTACCTACCTACAAAGCAAAAATCATGACAATCTATCAACCTCTTCATGAGTTATCATATTTCAAACATTTTACGAAAAACAGTCATGTACTTCCATTACAAGCTTCTAGGTGCCCCAAACCTACGTCACTTTTGCACTCTCTCTCTCACTCTCGAATTGTTTTGAGTGAGAAAAACATATATACAAATAAACACTCATAAATATTTAGTAATGGTTCAGAGTGAATATATTATACATGCAAATATATATCCATATGTATTTAGTATTGCTTCTGAGTGAGAAAAACATGTTATAATACTAGAAAGGCCGACATTTGCTTGGGAGCAAATACAGCATATTTCAGTCCATCTCCCTCCCACGCAAAAGTGGACTATTCCAAACTTACCCCAGTGCAAAACTGGCAAAGGTTCTCAAATAAATGAATTGAATAGTATCTATATGAGAACAAAGATGCAACAACAAATACTTTGAATCTCGAAAGCTTTACTAATCTTATTACAGGTATGCAAAAACTAACAATGATGAGATTTGATACATTTTGAAGGTCTATAGGCACATAAAATTGAACGTGTGCAGTCGAACCGCAGACCGCTATGCGCATCGGTTCTGCGCAGCTCTCTCTAAGATCTCGTTTAAATCTCGCGCTTCTTTTCCAAGGTAATGTGATCCGCGAGAATCCGCGAGAGTTTGCTACTGTTTACTGTTTCGCTTGTAACTCCGCTTTACGTAAATGTTTCCTTGTCATACGTTAATGTGAGATGTAAGAAGGGCCGGCGTCACGCTCAAGGTCGTAGATGTACATTACCGGTGGTGTTTGTTGGAGAAACGAGGTTTCAAAGTTGACCGTGTATGATGGAGATGATTCCACTCGAGACAGGTACCCTTTAGTTTTTTGGGGGGCAAACCCGTTTGCCCTATTTTATCGTCAATTTGGTATATTGTTTAATAAAGTATAGAACCTCCCTCATCTATTGTGGGTTGTTTCTTTTGGGATCCTGTAGTTGTTACAATGTAGTAACCGATAGTAAGTTGGGCTCATTCAGTCGAATTCTCAACGATTTTTGTTCGAATCGCAAGCTTTTTGGGCGCAATTGCAACTAGTTCTAACCAATACACCTGTAATGTAAGATATGGCTGAAATATAGTTATGTTGGCTTGACACCTGTGTACTTAGTTTTGAAATTGCACAATGTGTATTGCAGCTCGACCTTGAGAAAAGTGTAATTTCTTTACAGTTTCTTTGCCTTTAAAAATGTTCTGTTAAAAGTTATATAGAACAAAAATGAAAGTGAAAGAATAACGACCAAATAGTAAGCTTCAAAACGATACCCAATTTACGGATGAAAACAGAAGAGAAGGAATTTGGGCATGAACAAATACAACAACAGGTTGATTTTCCATGACCTAATTTTTGAAGGAGAAATCGGACACTATGACCTGTTACTGTAAATATACAAACATCGGGCAGATGTACTGACATTGGTATAGTTGCACATGAATCCCACTTTCTCTAGCGTCTTCATGATATAAGTCTGACTTGGAATGGGTTTCATAAAGTCTGTTTGTGATTAAAAAAACTTGATTCCTTCTTTTTATGAACTTTCGCAAACAGCGGTTGAAAGTTGCAACATTGTTGGCGGCGCGAAAAATGGAACGCGCTGCCTAGGTTCCATGGATCGAACGCAGGAGTTCGAAACCGATTGACTTCAAACTTGACGATTTTTGAATGGTCAGAACCTTGTATTAAATTCCTCTTTTTGTATATACTTTAATGTTATCATATCACTTATTATATTGCATGTGGTAGCCACATCCATACAGTTTCTCATACCAAGAAACGAATTTTATGACATTACGCGAAATGTATTGAAATGTAGCGGAAACCCAGGATGGTGTGTGTCAGTAGCTTACAACTGGGCTAAAAATTGACCACCGCGATGTGCGCATCGTCACAGTTTTTTGGGGGGCAAACCCGTTTGCCATAAAATTTACCAGGGGTCTTTGGCATCAATGTAGAGGCGAAAAAGTGGGCTATCACACTGTGGTATTAGCTAACGGGATCCACTTAAATAGTAAAAAAGACAAGCACAAATAAACTGACCAAAAATTGCTAATGTTTGGAAGGCCGTAGCGCTCGCTGTCATTTTGCAATGCACGAAATATCTACATGGTTGTACACGGCAAAGCCTGCAGATATGAAAAAGTGTAAACATTATGTAGGTCTGAGGTATTTTTGTTACACTATAGGCAGTTATTTACGGTTCATACCCTATGTTACGACAGCCCTATGTTACGACAGCCCTATGTTACGACAGCCCTATGTTACGACAGCCCTATGTTACGACACCCCTATGTTACGACAGCCCTATGTTACGACAGCCCTATGTTACAACAGCTATTGTTATTGTTAAATGCTGACGAACAATTGATGTCGGCGCCTTTCGCATACGTTAATCTCATTAAAGCCCGTTTTTCAAGTTTCCATCCGGTAAAATGTATCCACAAATATTTCTCATCGAACAAAATCATTTCGGATTTGAAAATTCTCTTTTGGGAGTTACGTTTTTGATGGTCTTGTAGCGGGCGGGTTGCATGAAAATCCACGCCGCAGTTCGCTATCCACGCCGCGGTTCGCTAACACTTCCGGCTTGCTTGAAAAGGCACCACTCAATATGGATACATACATTTTCCCAAAAATTCTTAATAATGAATTTCTTTAATGGAATGTTACATGTACTAAGTAGTGGTAGAAACACCGTAAAAAGTAGCGTAGTGTAACTCTCTTCGCCAACAAACAAACTGCAGCTCTGCAAAGATGGCTCTATCCAATCAGAGCGCAGGTCATATGAGGTCAACGAATCAGAGCGTAGAGTTCACGCTGCTACTTACATATTAGCATTATATTAATGAGAAAATGCGCGTATTTTCTTCTACGGCGAGGTAGCGAATGTGTGCTGCAAGTTATTTTCCAGCGATTTTCTGACTTTTAACGCCGATTTTTCGCACGCTACGATCACGCTACCATTTGAAACTGTACTGGAGACAACAGATGAGTGATCATTTTACAACCAAGGAGCACTTTTGTTGAATAAAACAGCAATGAAAGCTACGATACAGCCAAGTTATTTTCAAAATTTGTCTCGTGTATGAGAGATAAGATGACGCTTCTTTACACCGGAAATGTTGCTAGTACGGAAGAAGTGCGGACGAAGCAAGGCTCTTCACTATTAAAATCCGGCTATCGCAGGCGCTACTGGAGGTTACAATTAAATGATGCCGATGTTCGGAGTTTTGCAGCAGAATGTCCTAATTAAGTATTACTGGCGATACGTTTGCCATTTGTAGCATTGTTTTTTTTTTTAATGTCAACACTTGTAAAAAATGTGGAATGCTTGTGGACAGTTTCAACTTGTTAACAAGTGTAAACAAATGCCCCGCCCCCTCAATTAATTTTCGCGACGTGTTCCCTTAGTTAATTAATTCGCGACCCGGCACTTCCCTGAACTGGACGGCCTCTCAGTATCTCTGCTGCAGTCTGGCGGAAACACTGTCAGTGACAATTTATTACGTGAAAATTTTCTCCGAGATCATTACACTTAATACATTTACAATTTATCATTTGGTGTCTGAACATAGCCATAATCGCGTTGAAAAAAGGGGGCGTCAAAACATAGGGCTGTCGTAACATAGGGCTGTCGTAACATAGGGCTGTCGTAACATAGGGCTGTCGTAACATAGGGCTGTCGTAACATAGGGCTGTCGTAACATAGGGCCGACCCCGTTGTTTACACCCATGCAATGGGGTCAAATCGTGACCCGGCAAACGCCGTATCTTAGAGAACAAGAGTTCCGAGATCTCATACCTCCATGAAATATGGGCTTGACATGTAAATGTTAATTTCTTCTTTAATCATGCAAATTACCTCCACATTAACATAATAAATGCATCGTGATGTTAACTTTTGATTAACTTACACATGTACCAAGTATGAAATTCCCATCATTTACCACTAAGGAGTCATAGAATTTTCGCATTAATTATGCAAATTAGGTCATCATTTGCATAATTGGTATCTGGTGATGTTCTATCTGCCATAGATTACATACTAGTACATTACATGTATGAAAGTACTATAATGCAAAACACTGTAATTATAGAATTTCCTCATTAATTATGCAAATTAAGTCCTCATTTGCGTAATTTGCAGTTAATTATGTACATCTCTCTCTCAGCTACCTACCTACCAAAAATTATGAAAATACATTGTTTTTATCTGGACTTATTGGCTTTTAAAGATTTCGCCCGAAAGTCCCCTGCAGTTCCAGAACAAGCTGCTAGGGGGACCAAACCCACACCACTTACTAGACAGGACAATCTATCTGCCACCAAAAAATCAAGACCATAGCATATTCAGGACAAAAGATACAAAAACCGGAAGTTCTGCTGCAGTACCAAGGTCATCCACCAGGAGGCGTATATTTGACCTTGACCTTCGTCTTCATAAGACCTACCAGCATACCAAATATCATCACAATCCATAAAGGCGTTATGAAGTTATGCTGGCCGCAAATGTGCGGAGACACAAACAGACAGACAGACAGACAGACGCAACAAAAACAACACCTCCATTTTCATGGAGGTAATAACACAGGTTGTTTGTTATCAAACACACAGCCATACAGTGGCACTGCCACATTTGCCCTGAAATAGGTCACCTATTCCCCTGAGGGAGCGCGCTGCCTCGCTGGGCATAGCCACATCTGTTACCCTGCCTCGCCTCGAGATTCCTCTCAGCCATGCCCTGACTCAACCTTAAACCGGAAGTGCTGCTGCAGTACCAAGGCCATCCGCCAGGAGGCCCATATTTGACCTTGACCTTTGCCCTCCTAAGACCTACCAGCATACCAAATATCACCACAATCCATGAAGGCGTTATGGACTTATGAAGGTACAAAAATGCGGAAACACAAACACACATTATACACACACACACACACACACACACACACACACACACACACACACACACGCACACAGACGCGCCAAAAACAATACCTTCCATTTCATGGAGGTAATAACGCGTTCTACGGTGACCTGCGGTTCGACTGTGTGGGTCATTACGCACCACTTAGGTGCAATGTGACCTCAGGTAACCCCCAATGGAACACGTGTTCCATGGATGGAACCGGCCATTCTTTAGATAGAACATGGAACGGGTATAGCACTTTTGGCCCTTTTTTTGCTGAAAATAGCCATTAAAGTCCCCTGAATGAGTCATTTGGAAGTGGTGTATGCCAAATATGTGACTGCTATTCTGTAGACACATTTTCAAGGTACCCTTATACCGAATTTCAGATCATTTGGTTGTAAAACCAGGACTCAGGATCCATTTTTTTGGCGAAAAATGCCCCAAAAAACCTTCATAAAAATTTTTTAAAGGCATGTATCGAAAAAATGAAAAAAACGCCTGGGGGTATTGGCCCACTCTACCTCCATGCCAAATTTCAAGTCATTTGGCTGAATGATGGCGGAGTTGAATCCCTTTGACTGTTTGGCAGGAGGAGAAGAAGAAGAAGGAGGAGGAGAAGAAACATGAGAGAACACAATATATTTCATCCATACCATGGTATGGACTGAAATATAATAATAAAGTTATATAGAGATAAATACCGTTGCTGTTATCTTGACGAAGTGCAGCAGGCACGTAATTTGCATTGTTTGTCGTGTGAGAGCCGCTCTGTTGATCGCTACTGGGCTGTGTAGTGTCTCCCTCCTCATCAGCCGCCTGTATGTCCTCACTGTCCTGCTGTTGGTTGTTGATGTCGTCCTGGTCATCGTCAATATAATTGTACGTGTGACTGTCAGAGTCGTCATCGCAGTCGTCAGAAGCAACGGCGTCAGCCTCGGTTTCTTCATGTTCGGTACGAATGGCCGGTTGTTCTACGCATACAGAGGAAAGTAGGAAGAAGAGGATTAAAGATGACCTGATATTTTAAAAGGCTTTTCTCTGTCAACGCATTATACATTACGTTATAATCCTAAGAAATAGTAGAATTTAGTAAAAGCATCATGCCATGTTTAGGCAAACAGCGTTTGAACCTGGCTACGTGTATTACCCCAAATCCCCATTTTTTTAATCATTCGACGAACAGAAATAAGATTAAAAATCATATTTTAGGATATTTTTTTAATTTCTAGATTTATGTCTAGTTTTTGTCCACATATTGGTGAAAAAATGCATTTTTTTTACATTTTTTCGCACTATATTACAGATAATTCAAATTTAAGGCTATTTATTAAAAAAAACCTAGTACGACATTTGGGGCAACCGTTACAGTCATTTTGAGCTGTCAATGAAGAATGTTTGATTCTCCATGCTACCACGTTTGAACGGGTTTTCCAGACATGTCATATCGACCAAAAGTGTGTATTGTATTATTCATACTGGCGTAAAGAATCATTACAGTATTCAAGGACACCCACGGATACGTCAGTACCTTCGGTACATGTTACATGTCCACAAAAAACGATGGCGTACATGTCCTGTCAAACTGTATATCACGGTTTGTATCTATAGAAAAGTGTTGCTTTTTATCTGTTGTGAGGCACGGAGACAGGAGGGCTTGTTTTGTTGGTCTATGGAATGGGTTCGATTCTAATTACCCAGATCGAACACGACCGAATGCAGTTCGGGTTCCAGAAGGTGACAACTTTTCAGCCCAGATTTGACCACTGTGCTTGTTAAACAGGAAATGTCACATGCAATGTGCTAGGTTTACTGGCAGCTATTACGACATCCATTGTCACTGAAAAATAAAAGTTTTGAATTATTGTACACATGGTTTTGATTGAGTGGGAACATCACATATAAAAGGAATGAAATTTATCACTGCATCAAAGTAAAAGACAAAGCACTAAATCAGAGTCTTGTATTGTTTCCTTTCTTCATAGTTATCTGTCATCCACGTTCTGGCATGGCAAGACATATCTGCCCATTTTCGGCATGTTGACCACTGTCAGAGGGCAACAAAACTGTTTTTTTTTTTTTTAATCAGGAGAAAATCAATGAGCGCGCTGATGCCATCTAAGAAATTACTTGCTGTGGCGTAAAATACTTTAATTTGTTGTGCTGCCAAGGCACTGGGCAGTTACGATAATGCCCGACCTTCCGGCGGGGAAAAACTATACATGACCGGGACGCCCAACACAACTTACGGTCGGCCCATGGTTATTTTTTTTTTAAATAATTTCCAACATGTAATCACAAGATGTGGTGACGGCACACTCAAGTTTTTCAAACTTATATTAATGCCACCACCAACACAGGGGACAAGACAATACTCATTCTCACCTGACCGAAGTGAGGAAAGTCGTGTAAAGTGCCTTTCCCAAGGGCACAAGATTGGTGGCATGTCAGGACTCGAACCCGGGACCTCTAGGTTCCGAGTCGAGCACTCTGCCGCTATGCCACACGACCCCACTGCCCATGGTTAGGCAGCCATGGTAAAATATAACAGCTAGTGACACGTTTTAGCTTATGTTATGTTGTAATGCCCTGGTGCTAAGATTTCGTGATTTCTACCTTTCTGCCATATAACTTGTCACGGGACGAGAGTGAGTAAGTGAGTGAGTACTATATGTAGGCGATGTTTTATAGCAATTTGATTTCTAGAAGAAGATATAAAGTCTAATACTTTCTTTACTACGAAGTGGATATAAATCTCAACTCTGTTACCTCCTACGCATGAATCGTTTTGTAATAAACATCATTAGGGCTTTGAAAACACAATCTCAGTCTACAATTTTCTTTGCACAAATTCAGAAGGAATTCTTTGATGCTGATAACTGATCTCGATGGAACTCCCATAACAACTATAGCAAAAAGTGTTTTGATATTTATCCTCTGTTACTAGAGACTAATTATATAATATAAAAGACATTTTGTTGCATCTCTGAAAATTTAACATAAAACCTTGCTAGAAAATATCTTAGAGTATTCCTTTGTGATTCTATATAACTACTATCGAGAAATGAAAGACTTAACTCACAGGGGTCAGTGTTGACTCCAGGCGTATATTTACATAAAGCATTTGCAATTTTGTTTCATGAAAATTGGTAAAGGAACTCTAGGCTAAGCTGGACGGGTATGAGAGGGGTTTTTATGGCGTCAAGACTCTACTGAGGGATATAAGAGAGACGGCAGCTAGACCAGACAGCATATTTTCCCCGTCGACAGCTTTGAGGCTGGTTGAGAATTTGGCTGTAGAGGCGAGGAGAGAAAATCACAGGAAAGCGGAAGACTACGAAGCAGCAGCGGATGAGTTGAGAGAATTTAGATATCATAATAGAACTTAAGTGCTGCAATGAATGACATTTTCGGTACAGACGCAGCCGGAAAGATATCAAACGAGCTCTCCATTGAGACCATTTCTAACATTGACCTTCGTTTTTTCTACAGCTACTCATATCCTAAGTATAAAGGATCCATCCACAATTTCTCGAGTACATAGTATACATACACACAGACCCACACCACAGCCACTCCACTAAGCCCAATCTAAAAACATCCCCTATGAAATAGGCAATAAATACCTGTTTTATCAGCTTGCTGAGTGGAATCATTCGCATACATCTTGTTGTCAACCAATCCAATGATGTTCCGGCCTACAGGTACGGGAAATGCACCCCCATCTTCTATGTCGGTTGTATGTTTACCGGCATTGTTTGTGTCATCCATCTGTGCAGGAGTGTTGGTGTCATCCCTCTCGCCATCATGTCCTTTAGGATTATCGTCACTCGTGCCGGTGATATGGAAGGTTTCCATCCCTGCGTCAAACGGATTTTTTTTTATAAATACAAAAGCGTTGGAATAAACACATAGTCCATCCATTTACAAAGCAGTTAACAGTATCTGAATTGTATAAACATATGCCTGTAACGTTAAGGTCCTAAAAAAATTCAACAACTGAATAGGATTGAAACATACATGTATTGAGACAGTGCCTTGAAGATGATACCGGCGTATCCTGACGTGGCTCTTCTTCCATTGTGCTCATTGTCTTACAAAAAATGGACCGACAAAACAAACCCCGTCTAGCTCACGTAAATACTTCTCCCACGCAACTTAATTTGTCTGGTGCTTGGAAAGTTGAAAAAAATGATTGTAAACAAGTTATATATGCATTAATAATGTTTCAGATGTTGGAGACCATACAAAATTTAACGCCTACACTAGTTTTACATTCATCGGCCAAACATTTCTGTCTAGATAGAAAAAAATGTACATGTCCAAACTTCGCAAGGCTCCTAATAAAGTCAAATATTCATGGGCTGGGTACCGATGTTGAGAAGGGAATTGTCTAAAAGAACGTAAACTAAACAAAACACTCTAACGTAACATCATAAAAATACAGTCAAATTTTGTTTATCTGCATGTTAAAGAGGTGCCTTGTCGAATGACACTGATACTGGTATTGCAATATCGTAATGATTATTATTATTTGCTTAGTTTAAGCATTTATTTAATTTCAAAATACTCAAATCGGCATGCTAACCACTTTTTATCGAGATTATTAGAGAAGAGGTCAAGGTCAGACAAAGTGTATACGTAGCACAATAAAAAGGTACAGGTTACATCATTGTCTTTAGACGAAATATGATAATATATCACGTGCTGGCATGAAATTTCATTTGAGTCGGTAACATACATCATCGAGCCAGTCGAGCAAAAATTTCTTGTTAAATTTTCGTGTCTTGAGTTGAAATACATTTTGATTTCGAGAGTATTTTTGTGTCTTGAGTTGGAGGACATTTAAGTTTCAATAATGTATCACATGGATTAGTCCTAACTTATTAATATAAACATTGATATTCACAAAGATAGATTGTTTAGAAAAAAGTAGAGTAGAAAAAGAACAATTGTCCGTGTTCGGCGTAAACGTAAGCAAACTTTGTACGAATTTATGTCATGTATTAGGTAGGATTTTAATTATGTTACCTTGTTTTTGCAAACTATTTAAGACATCTTGCTATATATTTTCTAACTTTAACCCCTACTTAAGTGACAGCTATCAAAATTGCCCAACAGTCCGATTTGAGTATTCTGTGTGAAAAGGCACAAACAATATGCAACTAAGAAACAAGGAAACAAACAAATGATTATCTCGGTATTGAAATTGTAGACTCTTGTTAAAAACGTCCATTAAGTCAGGCCCTTCATTAACATTCTCTTATTTTACAGTGTGTTTTTGTTGAAAGCAATGAAAGTGGCCAGCAGTCTGGTTTAAGTATTTTATGAGTAAAAAATTGCACAGAAATAAAATAAACAACAATGAACAAACAATTTGGTTATGGAGGCCAATTCACTACTCAACCTGATGAAAAAGCCACAGTGGAAATACGTGTTTATTGCTGGACCCAGGGTCCACCATGCAAAAAAAACAAAATTAGATTTAAAAAAAATACATTTTACGTTTAATACGTTGGTTTGTATAGTTTTCATTCATTTCGGCATTTCTAGTCAATGAAATTTGATTTTATCAGCAACCTGCGCTGTTTAGACATGTACATTTTTATTTGTCTGAACAGTTATGTTTGTCCGATGTATTAAATATCGTGTATAACGTTGTAACTAGTGTAGGACGTGGGGTCGTGTGGCGTAACGGCAGAGTGCTCAACTAGGAACCAAGAGGTCCCGAATTCGAGTCCTACATAACATGCCACCGATGTTGTGCCCTTGGGATAGGCACTTTACATGACTTTTCTCACTTCGCCCAGGTGAAAATGAGTACTGTCCTGTTAAACTATGGCATCGATGGAAATTTTTTCAATGTTTTGAAATCTATGTATTTAAATGTCAATTATGCAGTTAGAGTAGAAAATGGCTTGTCAGACTCTTTTGCATCAACTTGTGGTGTAAGACAAGGATGTAATCTTAGCCCATTGTTATTTAATCTATTCATCAATGATCTGCCACAGTGTTTTGATAGTGACAAATGTGATGCTGCTGTTCTAACCTCAAAATCCATTAATTGTCTGTCTTGGGCTGACGATCTTGCTTTGATTTCCTTGTCAAAGAATGGTCTACAACAATGCATTAATATCCTAGAATCTTACTGTAACAACTGGAAACTTACTGTTAATGTCTCAAAAACGAAAGTTATTGTTTTCGGTAAAGGTACTACAAAGAAATTTTCTAAAGAATTCTTTATCTATGATAAAGAAATAGAGGTAACGGATAGTTATACTTACCTCGGTATCCCTCTTACGTCCTCAGGTAAATTTAAAACAGCCAGAAAATTTCTGAAAACCAAAGCCTTGAGAGCTATATCCAAATTAAAATCACTTTTATCTTCCGAAAATATCTCAATAAAGTTAGGTAAAAATCTGTTCGACAAATTTGTAAAACCCATTTTGTTGTACGGTTCTGAACTAACATGTTTTGACCGTATCTCCAAAACGGTGAAACTTATTGTAGCAAAAAACATTTCTATATCTTCTCCAAAATCGTTCTTTTCTTCTTTACTAGAGAAGCTTCAAATCGATGATAATATTCCGATATCGATTCGAAAGAGCACTTGTTCGGATGTAACTCAAACGTATATCATTAATTTTGAAAGAAGCTTAGACAAAGATATGTTTCTAAAATATGCATGCATGTGTACATTAGAAAAAGATGACTTTTCAGTCGAAAATACACTCCTCTCTTTAGACATACCAGAATTCGATTTAATTGACATCCGTTTTTAAAAATGTCTATTAGGAGTCCATTCAAAATCATCCAATGACGGTGTACGAGGAGAGTTGGGAACTTTTCCCATCATGATATCTGCCCAAATTCAACTCATTAAATACTGGCACCGTTTGGTAAACTTACCTGAGGACTCTTTACTCCATGATGCATACAACACTGTATTTAAAGGTGATCACGACTGGATCAATCATGTAAAAGATATTCTTAATTATCAGGGCCTTGGGCACATATGGATGAAACCGGAACGTTATCAAGTTGACTACATAGTCCGCCAACTTAGCCAGCGGCTACATGACTCTTACATACAAGGCTGGTTTAGTTGCATTAAAAATAATTCAAAACTAGCATATCTTGACAAATCAAAAAAATGTTATGAACAAGAAAAATACCTTTATGATATAGAAAATTTTGAAATCCGTAAAGCTATAACACAGCTAAGAATCAGCAGTCACAAATTGAATATAGAAACAGGAAGATATTACAATGTAGCCCCTGACCAAAGATTTTGCCCATTTTGCCCACAGAAAATCGAAGATGAATTTCATTTTATCATGGAATGCCCTAGATATGATGTCCTACGTGATAATCTATTCAAATATCTCACTTCAAATACGACAGATTTCAATAGACTTGCTGCTACAGATAGATTTGATAATATATTTAAATGCAACAGCGAACACAATGCAAAAATAGGTAAATACATAAAAGACTGTTTTGTTATTAGAAAGAATACTGATTTGCTGTCACATGTACCCATAGATAACTCCGCCTGATTGTAAAGCCTAAGCTAACTTTTGATTATCTCTTTTCTATATATAAGTTGTTAAGTTTTATTCTATACCTATCTATTTTACTATGCTACTTATTGTTACCTACTAGTATTTGCCATACAATGTACCCTGTACAATTGTCGTGCAATAAAGTTCTTATATGTAAACCTGTCATGTATTTGTCCCGTGTTGGTGGCGGCATTAATATAAGTTGAAAAAAATTTAGCGTGCCGTCACCACGTCTGGTGATTACATGTTGGAAGAAAAAAGGAAAAAAAAAAAAAACTAGTGTAGGCGTTCGACTGCCGTTTGTTCTTCAACATCTAAAATGTATTACTGCACATAACTTCTTTACAATTTTTTTTCTTTAAATTCATGTACCAGACAAATCAAGATGCGTGCGCAAAGTCTTAACGGAGTAATCTAAGCGGGGTCCATTATTTTGAGTCCTCTTCATGTGAGACAATGAGCACGCGGGGAGAAGAGCCACTTCAGGAGTCTCACAGTAGAGATACTAGAGTTATGAACAACCCTGTATCATCTTCAAAGACGGATGTCAATACAGGTATGTTAGTGTCAGCTTCAACTTTCATAAACTAGTACCGCAAAACATTTTTTTTTACCTTGCAGATACCGTCCGTAGCTTTGTGTATGTGTGGGGCTATATTTTCGTTAATCAAATTATTTTGACAGTTGTCTTTTAAAATTTCTGTGTTTACTACAGAAAACGTCACTTCTGTTGGTAAGAGTGAGGATAATCGTAAAGGCCATTTCAGTCACCATGGCAAAAAGGATGACATCAGCACCCCCGTACAGTTTGGTCACCTAAAGAACGACCATGGTAAACATGTAACCAGCAAAGAAGCTGTGAGCACTTTGCCCATAACTGTAGGCCGTAACATCATTGGATTGGTCGGCAACAAGATGTACGTAACTGATTCCGATCAACAAGCTGGACATAAAGGTATTTTGTCTATTGTATTCTACCTATATGAAAGGGGGAAAATAAAAAAGAAGCCTAATTACCTTACCAGGAAAGAGATATCCATCCGCGGTGAGGTACTATTTCCTATCCTGGGAGGGGAGTTATAGATCTTGTATTGTTTGTTATTATTGTGGCATCATCCCTTTTTACCTTGCCGAGAAGGTTATGTTTTCAGTAGTGTGTGTGTGTGTGTGTGTGTGTGTGTGTGTGTGTGTGTGTGCGTGTGTGTGTGTGTGTGTGTGTGTGTGTGTGTGTGTGTGTGTGTGCGGTTTAGCACAATAACCCAAGAGGCCTTTGATCGATTGTGTTTATTGCAG